ATTTTGGATTTTTTTAAACGGGAGCTAAATTGTAGTATTATATTCGAATGTACGGATATACGTTCGAACATGGCCTGTAAACCACATGAATCTCTACACATGGATTATCTCACATGAATGGATGTGCCTGATCATGGTTTTATCTATATATCTATAGATGCATGGTATGTTTGAGATGCGGAAGAATTCGATACTCATTCTTGAATTAACGTCTTATCCCATTGAAGTCTTTTTGTATACCCCGAAATAACTTTAATCTGAAAGTGTATTCTCGCGCAATTACATTCGTATACCATCTTCAATAATGCTACTTCGCAGCATTACGATTCCTGAGACTAAAGTTCCAACAAACTTCAGTCCCTCATAAAACTTCTTCCGACTATTATTTATTTTTTCAACCCCATTTTCGAGGTCAGTGACATGACTAGAGATCAATGTGGTTGTCTTAAGCAAGCTATTACACTATACAACAAAACTAAATCAATAAAAGTGTAGAAGAAGCCAAAAGGGATGCAAATCATGACAACCTGGGTGGCTATGAGAGCAACAGCTTCAGTGTAATTGAGGAGTAGGCCACGAGCAAGACGTTTCTGCGCGAGATGCCCTGCATTGTGGAGCATCAATTTCTCGATTTCTCGAGGGGCCAATTTCATTTTTTTTTACCCTAACTTCTTTCTGAATTCAGTTCTCAGCGGCTCTCTGCCAATCCAGCCACCGTCAAAATCAAAGATTGCATGAAATCAAACATCTGAACAATAGAAATTCAACGGGAATTACTGCGAGACCTTCTCAAATACTATTCATTTCTACAGAATTAATAAACCTAAAAAAACTAGGCAAAATTAAACTGAATCAAAATATTAGGATGAAATAGAACCAGATACTCACCAGAGTTCCATTGATCTCAATGGAGTGGACTTTCTTCTTGCGCCTTTAAGCTAAGCTGATGATCGACCGTTTCCTGAGAAAAAATGCGCGCTGGTGAGGGATGGACAAAGAGCACGGTACCCGACCGGACCATAATAATCATAACCAACCAATTACTCTATCACCCAAACCCAATCCAAACCCGAACCGCTGTCAAACTAGAGGAGACTGAGGTACAAAAAAAATAAAATTAATTATCCATTTGAGGTTAATTACGGGGTGTCTCAATTATTTGTTTGATCGTACCATGTAAGAAGTAGTGCTCCATTTTCATTTCGATATTTGAATTATGAATACTTGATATTTTTGGAACGATTTTAGCATGTCATGATATTATACTGTTCTGTTTTAAAATAGAATGATAGAGAATAATTTTGATGTTCATCACGTACCAATGCTATACAGTTCTAATAAGTGCGTTAATGATAGATTCTAATACTATCACGAATCACGCACAGCCATAGCGCTAGTAAAGGCTTGATTTATTAACCTAATAAATTCTTAAAATATTACTAGCATGATAAAATTATTTTATTAAGAAAAATATTAGAGTCACAAATAGAATAGTCATAAAATTTACAAATTTACAAAAATATTAGAGTCACCTCCCCTTGTCATTAGAAATTCAAAATTTCAAATTTTGGAATTGAAATGCATGAATTGAAATGAAATGCTAGTTGCCAAACACTACCTAATGGTATGTTTGGGAACATGGATTTGGATTTCAAATCCGAATTTGGCTCAAATTTCATGTTTGGAAAACTTAAAAATTTTAAATTTGGAATTGAGTCAAATTCTTCTCATTCATAACAAAGCTTAATTTGAAATCCATGCACCTCCCCTTGTCATTTGAAATTCAAGATTTCAAATTTAGGAATTGAAATGCATGAACTGAAATGAAATGCAAGTTGCCAAACACTACCTAAATGAAGAAGAGAAACTTCCAAGCTGCTTTCTTTGCTGCAGCTCTAAGTAATATATATATATATATGTGTGTGTGTGTGTGTGTGTGTGTGTGTGTGTGTGTGTGTGTGTGTGTGTGTGTGTGTGTATGTATGTATGTATGTATGTATATGGCGGATTAGAAATTTCTCATTGCATAGGAATGAAGAGCTTATGGTTAATAAATGTGCCCAAATGACAGTATATCAGGTTGAAGTGTTTTTGAAATAGAAAGGTGTTTGCATATAATGATACCTTAGCTTCTCTTTTTGTTTTGATTCTGTATGATAGATTAATGGGTAGTGATTTTTGGTTGTGAAATGTTTGGTTGTATTCTTCATGGATGAATTTAATGAGAAGTGCATTTTGTTCAAAAAAATTTATTAAAAATTTAAATGGTTTAAATAGTTAAATAGTGGAAAATCTTAATGTACATATGATAAGTTTGTGAGCTTTATGATAGATATTTTGTAACTCTTGCATTTCTCTTTTATTGAAGTGTTTTGTACAATTTAATACAACCGGCCTAGTTCTATGGCCACTCACTTTGAGTGGTCACCGAAGATATTGTCTCAACGAGAACACTTACAATGCTCCATTCGTAAAATTAATTGATAGATATCCTGAACATGGGGGTACCAGACCCAATCAATACCAAACCCAACCATAGAAGCCCAAGAAGTACGAAACTACACCAAGAAGTAGTTTGACCTCGGTGCTCGGTCAATTGTTCGGCAGTGGCTTCACTCCCTGCCCCAGCCTCCTAAACGACAGTCAGTCGCACCATGAGTCCTCGCCCTCAGTCAGCCGACGAGGTCCACAGGTATGACGGCCTGCACACTAGGCCCTCGGTATGAGTGTACGACCACAACCAACATCTCCTTCATCTTACCCAAATTATTATTATTATTATTTTTATTATTATTATTATTATTATTATTATTATTAGTATTGTTGTTGTTGTTGTTGTTATTATTATTATTATTATTATTATTATTATTATTATTATTATTATTATTATTATTAGGGGCTGGTGAGAGAAGGCTGTGTTATTGGATAAGGACTATATTTGGTGTAGGCAACATATTTCTTGTATTATAGATAAGAGTATGATCAATGGCAAGTAGAAAATGGAATGCCACATGGTGACGTGGAATATTTTAACCAATCAAAACCAGTCCAGTCAGTGTGTGGCAAGTGAATGGAGTTGCATGCCTTACAATGGCAAGTAATTGTTTTTGTCCGTTTTTACACTTTTTAAACATATTTTAATTATTAAAAATTATTTTACTTATTTTTTTACAAGAATAGATGTACTCCTATTTTAAAAAAATCTTCTTTTTTGTACAAAAAAAATAAAAAAATTTAAAAAAAGGAATCTAACTCGCGGAAGCCTCATGTACCGTGGAAGAAGTGTAATCCCACGCGAGGCAAGCGAATGGATTGTCCTATGTGTCTGTTATGGACTGAAACCATTGCAAGGTATGAGACTTGTCCCACATCGGTTGTATGGGCAATTGATGTAGGGTTTATAGGTCAAATGGGTTCCCTCACCTATCAGACTAGTCTTTTGGGTTGAGTTCTTCCGTTTGGTCTGTAACAGTGGTATCAGAGCCAACCTCGGAGTGGTGGCCCACGGAGTGGTGGCCTGGAGAAAGCCAGTCGTGACCAACGAGGACGTTGGTCCTTGAGGAGGGGCGAATGTTATGGACGGAAACCATTGCAAGGTATGGGACTTGTCCCACATCGGTTATATGGACAATTGATGTGGGGTTTATAGGCCAAATGGGTTCCTTCACCTATCAGACTAGTCTTTTGGGTTGAGTTCTTCCGTTTGGTCTGTAACAGTGTCATGGCATGGTAAGCGGATGGAACGCCGCTTCACATGCTCTAAGGCGTCCCATATGCCCAATGGATATAGCATGAAACTTGTGCAATACAACAGCTACGCGACTATCATTGACTAAAAGGGGTGTATTCCATTTTTTGAAAAAGACCAAAGGGATTGATGGATAGGGTGGCCTGAGTGAAGGATTGATTGTGATGAAGCTGGAGAAGGAGAAGAAGCAGTTTGTGCAGAAGAAGAGGAGTCGACAAAATCCCAGGGCTCTTGGTCGGATTTGGAACATGGATTTCTATTTATAAGCAAGGTATGAAAATCCATCAAAATCCACGTTATGAGAAATCTTTTAAAATCCATCAATTTTTGAATATCATAATCTTTAGAAGGATTTTTTAAAATCTAAATAGAATACACCAATATTTTAAATCACTTTTAGAAATCCGAATGGAATACCTAAGGATTTTCAAAATCCAAAAAATCCACCAGAATCCCAATTAAATACACCTCCCTCTCTTCTTAGCCTAGTCTATTCTAGGCCCAAGGTTTTAAAACTCATCATTGATAGTTCTTATTTATCGATTAATCCTCACTCAATTTCGACCCAAGCCCATCCTCCCACGCACAATACGAACTCTCAATATTACAAATGAAACATTGTAGAGGGTTCAAGTTTTTTTAACACTAACAATTCTATTACTCCCTACAATCTATTAAAACTTATTTTTTTTGGTTGGAATTGTAATATTGAATGTTGGAAGAAACTAAAAATAGTTAAAAGAATATTAAAAGAATTGAAAAAAAATTGAAAGAAATTTAAAAAATTTAGAAAAAATAAAATGTTAAAAAAATCATCCAATCAAATAATCATTTAAATATAGAAAAGAATTCTTCTTTATCCATGTTTGAAGTGATATGTTTTAATTTTAGATATATGATATTATTGTATATTCATCATATATAAATAACTTTTAAATCGTTAGAAAAATGCGAAAAGAAAAAAAACTACAAGTGGTTAAAAAAATTAAAAATAATTAAAAAAAGTTTGAAATTAACTTTTTTAACCTAAAGTATGGGGTTCAATGTTGTCGTCAAAAGTCAAAGTATGAAAATTCCAGTAGAATTTTGGCCCAAGTCATACCAGCTCTCCTACCTTCTTTTCTATTTATACTTATACTACGTATATCTTTACCCAAACAAAGCATGAGAGTTGCAGAAAAGCAGAAGTTTTTGCAACTCATATTTGCTCAATACAGTATATATAATAAGAGCACAGTTCAACACAAAATGGAGCACACAAATGTTGGCAGGTCCTTCAGATTTCATCTCTGATTTCAAATAAGTTATGCATAACATGTAGGGGGATATAGTCAGAGCTGCTCATAAATTTATTAGCATGAAAGAAAGAAAAAAAAGAAATCCTACCCTTGCTGCACTTGTGTTTAGCTTCTAAGAAGTTCAAAAAATAGCCTGGGAGGATAACAACGAAAAAGAGCTATGAAAAAGGATGGACATTGTCCTTCCAATAATAATAATGTGTCAGGGATAATCAGCAAGGCAAAGGGTACGATTGGAAATCCACAACTCCAGCTCTGGTTTTTCCCTAGGAGGACAATACTTTCTGGACTTCTTCCGTAACGTCCTTTGGTTGTTTCTCGGCATGTAAGCTAGCAACAATGCCCTTCTTTGAATAGTAATTTATTACCTGTATTCAGAAGAGTTCAAGATTACATGAATATGTCTTGAGTATGAAGATCAACACAATGTAACACATATATGTACAGTACAACAACAACAAGAAGAAGAAATCCAGTATAAGCCCCAAAAAGTAGTGTGTGAGGATGGTGTGTGTATGCAGACCTTACCGCTACTCGGGAGTAGATAGGTTGTTTCAAAGAGACCACCAGTTTAAACACACAAATAAAAATCTTTATAACATGTTTTGTACAGAAAATAAAATGACAAGGGATAGAGTGTAGAAAAAGATTAGTTAAGGATATGGGTGTTGATTGAACAACATGAATACTGAAATGAGGCATGGCTATAGTTATGACAATAACTTCAATTGATTGATGTCTCATTATGTTTTCCAAGCAAGTTAAACTATGAAAATGCTGGTTTTGGGATTTTGTCTCGTTATTCCTTCTTTTTGGAAGTCAAGACGGGAAGTAAATTTAGTGTAAAATTTACTTGGCCAGTTGCCACTGCCTTCCACATGCATGCCAGATTCAAATAGATTCGGACAAATGACTAAACAGTAAAATATACAGTAAATCCCAAAATTCTATATCACCAATCCCAGCATTAATGGGTGAAGAAGATGACGACTCGCAGGCGCAGCCTATGAATACAATAAATAGTTAAATACATATAGATAACAAATAATTTGCTTGATCCCATTGGCCACACAGCTTAGTAACAATAATATACTAGTAGTAGAGTAGTATATCACGTGAGAAGGAAACTTCAAAGTTAAGCATCAGAACATATTGATGACAATACTAGAAGGCCGATCAACTGTGTTAATAGGATGATCAATTTTGTGATTTTTATTCACATCGAGATGATATTCCATTAATTCCACAGTTTCATGATACGTGATCCCAAAACAAGACTGTTTGAGCATGGAAGTACTCCCTCCACTCACATTTATCTAACCATTATTATTTTTGTGATACCTAAAAAGTAATTAATGTACACGTGTCGTATGTTCGCATTCATACAACTTTTTTTAGTACTACCGGCTCTATTACAATGTAATATTTGTTCAACTTTTGATGTATCATAAAAGTCATAATGGTTAGTTAAATGCAAATAAAGTACATGTCTACTAGGAAACAAGAACTTCAGGATCACAGATGTTGAATTCGAACCATTTTTTAACTATAATTAAGCTCAGATAAGGCACACGGAAGAGTCCATGGGATGAATGTAGCTCAAAAATAAATATATCTTCAATCATGAAAAGGTAGTCCGGTTTTGTTTTAGATCAATTGACACACGTTAGTTATATATGAAACTGAAATATAACATTCAACTTGATTGGATATATTGCATTTATCAAACATATTTGGAGAGATTTGTACAAGCTCACCGGTTCTGTTTGGCTGTGAAAAGCCTGAAGCCTTGACTTAAGAACAGCAGCAGTATCGTCTTTACGTTGAATTAGAGGTTCTCCAGTAACCTACATCCCAGTGATCCATCAATCAGCTCAGCAGCTAATACGTAGCACTACAAACAACTACTATACGGAATATAACAGTAGCAAATGGGCACAAACAAATTAATCTCCAAACAAGAACAGGCGATCCGATAGAGTCCCACATGGTGGAAATTTGAACTCCAAAAAATTGTGAAAACATGTGAAGTACTTTTTCAACAGAAATGAAAATATTCAACCCCATCATTTGAATTATCATGATCCAAAAGCTATGTGATCTCAAGAAAACAATAAATTTAGGCATGTCCTCTTGAAAAAAAATGAAGCACAAATAAGCTTAGAAAACAAGAACGGGGGATACAGAAGTTCTACCTCATGCAGACATGTCCTTCTGTAACTATGTTATCATCCTATAAATAGTTAGCTCTCTGATCAATTGAAAGATGAACTTTTCCCTACATTTTAGTTATAATCACCATGCATTTCTAATGCAAATGTTCTTCATATGTACTCTCTGATCAATTAAAAGATTACGTTTTCCCTACATTTAAGTTATAATCCCCATGCACTTTTAATGCAAATGTTCTGCGTGTGTAAGAAGTTGCACACAAATCTTAATGCCATACATTTTATACAAAAAATTCTGAACGGTGCAAATGTTAGTTCAAGATTGGCATTCATCGCCATCCTCGCTAATTCCCGAAGAACACGAAGAATGTAAAAAAAGGAAGTCCATCAAACTAAACATACATCATCAACTCCAGGAACTTTAGGGGGTGCAAACTTTGTGTGGTACGTTCTTCCACTTGAAGGGTGGATCCATCGACCAGTAATTCGCTCTTCCAAAATAGCATCATCAATTGCAAAATTCAACACTTTATCCACCTTCACACCCTGCTTCTTAAGCATTTCATCTAGCTGCAGCCAGTTAAGAAAGAGAATATCATAGGAAACCAACGACATTGGATGAATTATCTTTAACAAGGCAAAAATCCTAAAATAAATATCAGTAACTACCTTTTCTGCTTGAGCCACTGTCCTCGGAAACCCATCAAGGATGAACCCCTTTTGGCATGAGGGTTTCTTCATGGCTTCATCAATAATCCCAACAACCAAGTCATCGGAAACAAGGGCACCCTAAAAGTAAAAAATACATTTTACTATGAGCAACAAAACATAGAAAAGCATATTCTTTTGCACTTCCAACAAAACTATCAATGCAAACCTGGTCCATAGCTTCCTTGGCCTTGATTCCAAGAGGAGTTTTGGAAGAAACAGCAGCTCTAAGCATGTCACCAGTGGCCAAATGGCATAAACAGTACTCATCCTTAATGATGGGTGACTGTGTACCTTTTCCAGATCCAGGTGGGCCTGACATACATTCAATTAGCTCTTTACCAAACAAAATTGTAACACAAATGTTGAACATATGTGTAGTTAAAGATCTGAAATATCAACAGCATCAATAAGGCTCAACCAATAGGTAGGTAGAACAAATTGCCATCACTGATTTAACCGAACAACATATGGAATAAATTCATTCAAAAACTATCAGCAGCTTTTAAAGACACATCGATAAACCATGAGCTATTCATCCATTTGTTGCATTCCCTCACTATTCCTAAACATCCAACACAAAAGAACCCAACTTTAAAAAAATATAAGTTTCCTTAAACATAATCCAAATACTTAATAAGTATAAATCCAGAATTAAGCTCAACTATTCCTTTAACCAAATCACATCAGAAATCAGACTGGATTAGAAACAGAAGTGGTGACAACACAAAAGGTGAGCTATTCCAAAAATTGAGGTCAGCCATTCTTTTAGCCAGATCGCATCCGGAATCTGACTTAATTAGGAAGCGAATTGATGATAACAAAACCCAACTTCATGACTCCAGTGCTGCTACGAATCAAATTGAGAAATCGATATTGATTACACAGCAGCCACCGAAAAGGCTCAAATTCGCATCAAGATTCACCCGATTACGAACACATTGACTCCAAAATCTACAGATTCGATACAAAACATGCACAAGAACACACTGAAGACTAAACGAAAAATGGGGGGAAATTACCGATGAGAATGAGGCGCTTGTCGGGCTTGGTGGAACACCTGAGACGGCGGAGGAGCTCCGACATGATGGTTTCACTAGGGACATCTTCCAGCGACGCCATTTCTCTCCGCCGCTCGCTGGATGCGTTGTGGTGCTTCGGACGGTGGTGGTTTTGACGTGAACGAGGAGCGGGGAATCAACTTTGTGTTGGAAAAGTAGGTGAGAATGTGAGATCGCGTTGACTGTTGACTGCGGCGGTTCGGGATTCGGGAAACAGTGGCAGATTGGTCTAAACTGGGCCGGGCCGATTTAAGTCATCTTGGCTTTAGTACAAGGTATTGACTCTTGGTTATCTTGATCAAGTCGAATTCACGTTCGGTTACATTGAATGCAAGTAAATTCAGGTTTGAATTTATATTTAGAACTACATTTTCATGACTCGGTGTTACTGAGTTCAGATTCATCCAACAAATAAAGAAATTTATTTTTAGAAAACTAAATGGGCATAACAAATACTCCGTATGAAATATTCATATGAATACTCCATGTCCAATTATAACTCTGAAATTCTCATTTGCATGTGAATACTCTAAAAAATAATTAGACTTCACCTCGCTACTCTAACTCAATTTAATCAGTTTTAGATGTAATTACGTAGAATTATTTTGACTCACATGACATTAGAAATATTAAACTCGTAACACATTTGAAATAATTGAATTAAATTGGACGTCATTTAGACTCTTTGGAATAATTTAATAAAAGAAACCTAATAGAATTTGGTAAAAATGTTCATCTTCAAAAAGTTATTAACCTTTATTAAGTTATCCACTAAAGTCCAAATGATGTCGAATGTAAATCTTTAACTTTTGTGATGTTAACTCGTTGTTTCAGATGCAGTGCTAGTTAAAATACTTACACGTAATTAAGTCTAAACCTAAATAAACTAGATTGGAGTAGCAATGATATTGGCGTGCAAAAGAAAATATCGAAGTAATACTGTATAATCGGCCAAATTTGTGGAAAAAGACGTAAATTTTTGAAAACAAATTACAAAACAACACAGTGTAATTATCAAAGTTAAAAAAATATTTTAACTTTTCAGGTGATTTTTAGATATATATATATACTCATACAAAAATATTATAAATAATATTTTATCCGTCATGTATTAATGTTTCAGAGTTGAACGGGCACAAATATACCAAAAAATGTAAAATATTATTGACTTTCTGAATATACCCTTATATTAAAAATAGGAAAATCTAGCGTTGTGCATCTGATTGGGCGATTGCCCTTCTTGCTGCCATCCGGTCAACAACCCAGGGCCAACACCCTTCACTAGTGGTCTTGCTTTGGTCAAAAGAGACTCATTCATATCCGGTTACAAAATGACTAATATACTACGTACTTTACAAAGATCAATACATTTTAGTATTTAATTATTTCATGTATTAAAGTTCTTTAGATGAGTACGGAATGGAACTAAAGACTACGGGAAAATTTTATTTATTGTGTTATTGTAGTCATAAAGTTCACATGTAAAATGTTAATATTCTCATACATTTTTCATTACTTAATAGTTAGATCATTTTCATTTTACAAAAACTAATTCATTTAATTATTCTATGTATTAAAGTCCACAAAATTGTTTTAAAAATCCATAAAAAAAGTATCAATCTAACTTTTTAAGAACTAAAAAAATTGTCATAATTTCAGTATAATCATAACCCGTAAAATCAAAGATTGGATGGAGCTAAGATTGAGAACCCCCCCCCCCCCTAAGAAAGGTTCTCATTTAAAGGGTGGTTCTCCCTTAATGGTATTGATGGATACCCGGGAATGGGGGTATCCAACCCAACAGAAAGACGGCCCAGCCCTATCTCGCTGAGGCCCACTTGGCGGGACCAAGGCAAAGGATCAGAGAAAACCACATCGGCACCACACTCGGCCCCGGCAGGGTCGGTCATCCTCGGACCACCCCAGCCGGCTTTCCGCCAAAGAGACTTCTGATGACGAGTCGTGCGCTCGGACTCGGCCTAGGGCCACGACGGACCAAACCCGGGCAAGGAAGCTGACTGAAGTCAAGATCAAGGGGCCCACGATTTTGACTCCTGCCATGCCTCTGGCAGAGTCGCTATAACCACCCTACTCGTAACCTACTTTATATAGCAGTCCTAGGGTTAATTATGTGGTTGGACGCCGCCAGTGAACAACCCAATCTTGGTGGGCCCGGACCCCTAGATTACGGACCAACGGTCGGAACCCTAGCTGTAATCTGTATATAAACTCCTTCCCTTCTAAGGGAAGGAGAATGAGATTCCAAGATATACTCGAACTAGCATAATATTACTCCCAGTTTACTTGACCCCATATTTTGGGCATTCCCGACTTAGTTCGATACTCTTCTGCCAAGTTACCTAGGCCCCCGGGTTCCATAACCCAACAGGTATCTATAAATTTGCCTTGGTATATCATAATGACACAATCACATATGATGGAAAATAATACGTGGTTTGACCCATATTTTCCAATTATTTACAAAGAACAGTCAAACTGGTCGATAATTTACACCATCAAATATTTCTCGTTTGGGAGGAGGAAATAAGTTCCCCACTTAATTTACCGCCAAAAAAGGCCCGTGGTTTTCTCCCGATTTGGTGTATATTTCCAGTTTATCATTTTTGGTGTATTGAATATTGCGGAGGAGGAAATAAGTTCCCCTATTATTTCTCGTTGGGGTCTCCCACCAACAATTGGTGGAATGAATTCGAATGGAAGACTGAGACACAGGCCCAGACTTGGCACGCTGGTTACTACACCGGTCTTGCTCAGTATAAATAAAAAAAATATAAACCTAGAAGAGAGGCCCCGGATAAGGGGTATGCCTGCAAGAAGGCTGGACCTGGAAGAAGGTTCGAACCGTACTTACACGGACTCATGACGTTTGACCAATGTCGGGGAGTCAGCCGAAATCGACAAACTGATTGGGAACTAAAAGATGCCCATTAAAAGAAATAGAAAAGGATAGTTCATCGCAATGCATCCTACTCCGACTGGATCAGATTCCCCCTTCTCAGGGAAGACTTGAACGGGAGGGTGAGCTAAGGCCTTCCCGGGATAGTAAAAATCAAAGGGCCATTAAAAGACTTAATCACCCAGAAGAGGGGACCCTGGAAGAATGGTGCATTTTGGGCCTTGGAGAGAGCTCGAAACCATCCGGCACGGTTATTTCTCCAATGTTGATCTGGCCCGGCCAGCAGCATTATCTTATAAGAAGACTAAGACACATGCCCGTCTTGGCACGCTGGTTACTACATCGGTTTTGCTCAGTATAATAAAGAAAATATGTGACCTAGTCGAACTGGAACATTGGTCTCACACCGGTCTTGCACATATTTTCCAATGAGCCTGAGGCCAATCCAATTGGGTACACCGGTTGCACATCGGTTTCAGCGAAAAAGTGAGCTGAGCTCATATCGGGGACACCCGATTCATTTTAAGCCCTCTATCTGAGGCACTTTCATCGAAGATGGTCTCCGCAAGACATGAAGATATTTACATCAGTCGGCCGTGCTAACACTGATCTTCAACAAAGCTGCCACATCGTATTCAATTCTTATTAACTAACATCATTGTCATCAGTATACTAATTTGGTCATGCATCGTTTGCTTGACTCGTATTAACACCGGTCTCGGTGAAATGACTACTTAAAGCATCGCCGCTTCATCGTACTAACTCCGGTGTCATATAACTATTCGAAGCATCGTTGCTTTATCGAACTGACATCGCTCTTGTTACGATAATTATTCACGCGAATTTTAATTACCCTAACACCGAGCTCCTCGGTAAAGATAGTAATTTTTTAGCACGTCATAGGCCGGTCAAAAAAGAAATGTTGTACATTTTATATTTTGCAGGAAAAACTTCTGATTCAAGAAATCAGAGAATTAATGAAGACTCAGAGGACTAGCAATAATATCAACCGGTCAAGAATCCAAAGTACGAAGACTGAAGATAGCACTCAGAGGACTTGTTTACTTTTTAAGTTGATGATTCTCACAACTTAAAAAAGTGGAAGACTTCTTGATGGGAAATAATACGTGGCTCGGCCCACATTTCCCAATTATTTATGAAGAACAGTCAAACCGAGCATGTTTAATAAAATGGAGGAATAAAAGAATATTTCTCCGTAGATGCTCCCACTCTCTCCTATAAAAGAGAGGGTTGCCCATAATGTTGAGGGGAGGCCAAGAAAACTCCTTCCCTGCCCATTTACTCTTTCTCTCTCTAGAAGGCTTTAGTGTGTACATTTTCTTCTTCTTCAAGAGCTTCTAGGTCAACCATTAATGGCTTCTAAGCCTAAATAATGTACCATGTACAACCCCCGATATTAATAAAAATCCCCCGTTGGCAAGGTACCACCAAAAAAGGCCCGTGGTTTTCTCCCGATTTGGGTTTCCACGTCAAAATCCTCGTGTTTATATTTTGGTGTATTTTTTAGACTAATTTATCGTTTTTGCCCAGCTAAAAATAATATACCAGTCGATAATTTACACCATCAACATAGATACATACCGAGTATATAAACTTCATATCCCTCTGAAAAAATTATAAACTTCATAGATTACTACCAGAGTATCAATTTTATAATACTCACATGTTGAAACTTACTCCCTCTGTCCGGGAAAGATGTTCCCACTTTGAATTTTTCTCATTTTTAAGAGGCATTGACTAAAGGAGTAAATAGACAAAAATGCCCTCCACCCATCCCTACCCATCATACCCGCTGGAACTCACCCAACACTGCCGCCGCCAACCCCACCGCCACCCCAGCCTCCACCACTACCGCATATCTAACCGACCACTTGGTACCACTGCCAATCCCACCTTCTCTACTAGCAGCCGGTCGCCGCCAGCCCCCACCACAACCGTCGGTCTGTCCCTCGCCGCCATCCCCCACCACCACGGCCAACCTCATCATCTCCACCAACACCCACATCTCCGTCAGCCTCCACCACAACCGTCAGTCCCTCTATTGCTACCACCCCCCTCCATCGCAGATCTAGAAGAAATCAAAGGCATACGAAGAAGGGAAGAAGAAGAAGGTGATTCTGTCACACATTTGTTTAGATCTAGAAGAAAAATGGAGGAAAAGAAGAAGAAGAAGAAGATGGTGATGAGAAGAAGAAGAGGGGAATCCGTGTGGATCGGAGAAAGAGCAAGGGAAGAAGAAGAAGGAGGAGGAGGAGGATCGGTGAAAGAGAGAAGAAAAAGAATGAAAGAAACCAGAGAAAAAGAGAAAGAATGGAAAGAATGGAAGAGGAAAAAAGAAAAAGATGAGGAAGGAGTCAACATAAGGAAACAATGGAAGAAAAAAAAGAGAAAGAAAGAAGAGGAAGAGGGTAGTATTGGAAGAATGGTAAAAAATAAGTAGAATGGGAACATCATTCCAGGACGAAAAAAAATGAAAAACGTAGAGTGAGAACATCATTCCCGGACTGAGGGAGTAATAACTATCACATCTTACTTTTACGTATCAGGGGCAAAATTGAAAAGTCAACCAAAATTACACTTTTTTATTTTTGCACAAAGTCAAAATGGAAAGGGTTTAAAGAAACGGAAATAGTATAACATACATATGCGAGTACATTATTTAAAAATTAAAAATAAATAATAAAACTATAATGTATCAATAAAATATAAATTCATAAAAATGTGGAAAAAAAAATTTTAAAAAGAAATTAATCAACACGTGCAAAGCCCGGGGTTAAACCTAGTATTAGCCCAGATGGCAACGTAGCATTTTACCAATGAATACAAAATACATATTCTGTCAGCTGCCATATGCCCCTATATGAAGATAATATACACATTTTGGGGCCACAAATATGAAAAAACACCCTTTTTTGCCAATGGAAACGTAGTCTTTTTTGTTTTCTTTGTACAAATATGACGATACAAAAAGGTTCATTTCAGCAACCCTTTGACCGGAAATATTTTGGGGGCATAGAAGGGCACATTTCATTCATATGAGGGTAGGGTTCCATGGTATTGTAGTTTGGTAGTTCCATTCTGTACTTTCCCAGAATTTGACAGAAGGGGAGTTTCACCGTGTCCCCGTCGTTGCACCACGTTGGCAAGCGCCTCGTGTCATTTTCAAAAATATTCAGCGAGTATGCGTCTTTGATCTGCGCTTCGAGTGAGAAAAAATGTCAATTCCATGATTGTGTTGCAGGTAAAAAGAGAAAACACACGAAGAGCTTGATCTGATTCTGGTTTTATTAAGGTCTGATTGTAGTTCTATTTAAAACTATTTCTAATTTGATTTGGTCTGGTTTCAATAAGAATAAGTAGTACTCCCTTCGTTCCAAATTACTTGTCTATTAACACTTTCATGGTACATTGAGAAAGGGATGAATGTAGACATAAAGTATGTCTACATTCATTCATTTTTCGATGTATCAAGAAAGTGTTAAGTAATAAGTAAAAAGAACAAGCTCAAACTCACCGTAAACTCTGTAACTTCAATGGAACTTGCAAGGGAGCCAAACAGCCCGGCTTCCTTGTACATTTCAAGAACAAAAGCGACGCATGATGTAGACTTGCCGTCATCATAGACCCAATCATCCTGTTCCGGAATAGTCAATAGTTCTCCAAAAGAGGATCCACGCCTTTCAACTTCCACAAGTATTTCTGGGAGATCGAGCCCCTGCTTGAACAGAAATAGTTTATGCAAAGTCAGCATTTGATGACAGTTTAAACATTTCTATTAGCAGAGGCTTAGGCTTAGCAGCCCACCAATACCCAGCAACCTCTAGGGTGTGTTTGGTTGGAGGGGAGGGGAAATGCTCCCTTCTCTTCATTTTCTTCAAAAAATCAAAACATTTGCACTGTGTTTGGTTCAAGAATCTGGAAAGAAAAGGAAAAGAGAATGATTTTCTCTAATTTCCTCACCAAAAAGGAAGGAATCCTATTTTTCTTCCCTTTAGTTCATTTTGCCTTCTCAATTTCTTTTCCTTCCACTTTACTTTTCTTTTTCCCCTCTAACAAAACAAGAAAAATTGATTTTCATCTCATTTTCCTTTTTTTCCCTTTCAAATTCCTTGAACCAAACACAGTGTTGGAGGTCGGTTAAGCTTTAATTTTCCGTCCCTAACCTCCAAATGTTATAAAGAAAGTACTTCTCCTCCAAATTTTCCGTCCCCTTCAACACAAAACATGCCCCTTTATAAAGAAGCATTGAGCAGAAATACAACCTGAGTTCCCAGCCGCTTGTTCAAAGCTTCATTCCACAGGTTGGCAGCATATGCAGGCTTCATTTGGTTCCAAACCGTCATGGCAGATGCAACCTGAATCACACAGCACCAAAAATTAAAACAGAGAGAGCAAAGAGTGACACTTGCCATTATTAAAGATACAGAAAAGTGTAGAAATACACACATTAACCGTTCTAACCATACCCTGAGAGCTTTCAGTAATGTAAATGTAACTTCTTAATACTGATACATAGAAAAGATTATGCATAAATGAGATTAAAGACAAAATTATACAGTCTTGTTTTTCCTGGAGCTCTGCTTTATTTGGCACACAAGCTCTCCACAAAAAGAGAGGGTTCAAAATTATTTTTCCAAATAAGTTTAGCTACACTACTTCGGCATATAAACTGTACCACTAAATTTGATGAAATATTGGATAATAGGACTGAATTTGGATAACTCAGTATTTATTTGTAATTTTGTATATTACTGAAGGGAATGATGAAGTTTAACTAGAGTACTATTTGGTGTCTTAGGAAAGGAATAGCCTTTTCTCTATGCCAATGGCAAAGGTCTCTTTCCCCGTTTCCGACATCAACCATATGAACTTGGACAAGGTCATGTACACATGCCCGTAACATGATCTTAACCAAATATAATATTAATTAATTTATACAACTGTCAATCACCGAAGATGTAAATATGCCAAATCGCCATCAACTCTGCAAAACACTTGATATGGAATATTCTGCAGATCTAAAGACAATATCATGATGGATAGATTTTGCAGATCTAATATTTTTCCTGGCGTTATCTACTTGGAATAAGTTACCCCAGAGTAGTAATTAAGATGTCATAAATTTTAGCACTATAGTAATGATTCGCTGGAAGTGAAGAGAATCAAGAGATCTACGGCAAAATATGCAATGAGAAATGAAAATTGAACTTTGAAGGCACAAATAATAAATGATGGGACGAGACTGAAAATGCTTTACCAAATGAGAATCCAGGGGCGGAGGGTAATTTCCATCTATCGTGTCTATCCAGCTAAAGATCAAATTGTGATAACCGTAAGGTAGACCTTCCATGCTTTTAGCATATTCCCATGCAGCAGTCTCATTGAACTTTGCTCGGAGGTCTTCACGCAGAGGAAGCAATGCAATATGTGGATCAGAATCATCTTTTGTCAACTCAAACTCCCACCATTCATCCCAAGGTAAGATAGCAATGACATCTTCTCCCTGAATAGAAACAGTAGAAATATTGATAGAAGAAAATTAGGTTTGCCAAAGTCGGGAATGAAAGTGTAAGATACTATGACAATAATACAGCATTGACAATGTAACATTCAAGATCATGTCTGGAACGGTAAATAGTGGGCTTAAGATTTTCACATCATATATTCTTTTCCAGAATACTTCTTCCTCCTATAGAAGAATTTCTAAGAAAATTACTTAAACAACTTTGCTTGAAATACGGAATCACCTGCTATATTTTTGTTTCCATATAGGTAATTATACATCTTAGTCACTATTAAAATAAAGTGAAATCTTTACTTCGTATTAAAAATCAACCCACCTAGACCATACTCTCGCGGGATTCAACTGGTTTGTTGTTGTATTAAAAATGAATCCATACTTTTTTCCATTTTTGAGTTGGCGGAGGTTAACTGAACTTTCACCAGTCCATGAATAGTACATATAATATGACCACATACTTAAATTACTGGAATTCTGAAAAAAAGGTACATGTAACATCCCAATACATATAAAGCACTACCTCATCATTTTCGTTTCCAGATTCCCCCACCCATAGCTTTCCTTCAGAGTCTCTCAAGCAAACGGCACTATGACCGGCATAGGAACCCGTTACCCACTTCTCCAAAGTCTCGAAACCACCCCATCGGCCTTTAATTTTTGATATCGCGAGAAAATCTCCAGAATGTATGTCATCAGTAGAGATGTTTGTTGCCCATGGTTGAGGACGCTTATCAAATGAAGCTCCCATATGCTTCTTGAGAAAATTAACATTCGAGTTCTCGCCCCATCCAGTCCCTGAGAATAAAGGAAGGACTTCCCAAAGTGCAGAAAGGGTTCCTAACATTCCTGCTTCCATGAGAAAAATTGAAACCCCTGTATTCTTTACCTGCCACAGTGCATATCCAAATGTCCATTAGTCTAACTTAAAAGTGATGTTTACAAATATTACCCGTACTCTTGAGTGGGATATACTGAGTCTCTTTGGTTTGGTTACTCTATGAGTGATTGCATAAAGGTAATAAAATGATTACAATCAACTCACATATTCTAATTCAGCTTTTGATTCCCACTTATCAAATTCGAGTGTATGTTCACGAGACAGAATGTAGTAATCCCATGTCACACGGTATGGGGTTGCAAAGACATAAAGATCCATACATGTCCAACTGTGTGCATTGCTAACCTGTTCATAGAACACATTGATAGACAGTATGAATACATGTTAAAATTACAATAAATATATAAATAATGAAATAAATAAATAAATAGTGGTGGTGTTGGTGTAAATAAACTAATAATGATACTCCCTCCTAAATTTAGTTGTCCAATAACAACAACAACAAACCCAGTAGAACCCCACACACGTCTGAGGAGGGGTGTGTCTAAGTAGACCTTACCTACACTTGAAAGTAGAGGCAAATTCCAATAGACCAAAATTTATGGTGTTTTTCTTTGTGCTTATAAGCTGGTCAAAACTATTTATAAGCAGGTTTAACTTATAAGTCAGCTCATGACATGTTTCTGTATGCTTATAAGCTGACTTATAAGCTGCTTATAAGGAAGAAAAAATAAGTAAGTCTTAGCTACATATTTTTAATTTCTCCGTTTTGACCAGATTATTTACAAAACTGTCCCTCATTATTTATGAATATTTACAAATGATTTATATATCATTTAATTCATTTTACTTCCACGAAAGACTATTTGACTTATAAGCAGCTTATAAGTTAAAAACTACTTATCAGCAATAAGCCAATAAGCACCAGCACAAAGAAACATCTCCTTAGTTGTCCACTCATCCATGTTAATCATGCTCATACCCTATCTCCAAGATATCTTAGATAATTCATCCTAATATCTTTATTGATTATGACCATTAATTTGGGACAAGCAAAAACAAAAAGTAGATAGCTAAATCCGGATAGATGGAGTACATATTATGAACCGAAGTTCACGAAAATTAAGAAAAGTGTTGAAAAAATGGGAAAAGTGTGTGGTTGAAGTTTATTTGAATGATATAATGAATGATATTCACATATTTGCTTCCTAAAAAAGAAAACGGGAAAGTGTAAAATTGATTTTTAGACCTCTCAAACATAGGAAAGTGTAAAATTGTTTCCAAAAATAGAGTATTACACACAAAAGCAATATGTGTTACTAGCAGCCATAGTTCAAGAGAGCAACACCTAATGCAACAAACTGCAAAATCAAGAGTGACATATACCAATTAAAAAGCAGCCTCCCAACTAGTATACAAACTTAGGTTAAAGGTGAATTTAATTAAATGGTATTCTAAAACATAATGACTTTCCCAATTTTGTTCAAGTAAATGTCTAGCGTCATTGGACATTGTTCAAACTAAATGTCCATCTTGATATTATTACCACCACTAGACATTATTCAAGTACTATTTAAGAAATAAAAAAAGTCTAAGTACTAAATTGGGAAATGACATATGTTTTAGTACTGTTTCGTGCAAATTTCAGTAGCTTAAACGCTTTATAAAATATAGAGAAATGAAATCACAAAACAAGATAGAATAAAACCCTAATACCTTGATATGAAGAGTGCCTCCGCCAAAAGGGCTGCCACTCTTGTTGTGGAGATCCAACCAGGCATAGTTATTGTAGAAACAAGACCCTTTCCACTGTAGAGTGCCGTTGACGGAGACCGGAGCAGCGCCGACGAAGGCCGGCAGGAGGTCCGCCGCACTGCGCAGGGAATTGATGATGGGCCACGAGAGCTGATTGGGCAGGAGCGGAATAACGTCAGTCGGGCGAAACCGAAGCTTTAGCCCGTCCCCGTTCGGCGCGACCAGGAAGAGAGCAACGGCGAGGATGGCGATCAGTGAATGGGTCCTGCAGACCACTTCCATGGTTCCGGCTGGCCGGGAAAAGGTGTCCGACGGCCGGCGAATAGAGTGCGAGGAGGAGAGTCCAGAGAATAATTCTTTTTTTGTTTTTATCGTCGCAATTAATTAATTAATTAATGTCCCCGCTTCCCACTCACCCCGCCTCTACGGCTCTCAGAGTATTTTTAAGGTGTTACGGGATATGATTAATTGATTATATTCTCCCCCCATGGCCCCCCTTGCCAAATGTTTCTTTCACGTTTCATTTGGCATTTGGCACAAGATTTACGTCTCATTTGACTCATTTGGGTCGTTTGGAAATATGGACTCTTCCAAAACATTGGAAATATATCAAAATCAAGACTCTCAACAGATAGTTGAAAATCTAATTACCGCTCGCATCCATATCTATTTAAAGAGAAAAAATATCTGCATCCGTTTTAAACGGATATTATCCGTATCCGATTACTAAACGGATACGGATTTGGTAATTGTATATCCGATCCGTTTAAAATCCGATCCGAATATGCATCCGTTTAAATAACCGTTTATCCGAATATCCGATCCGTTATATATAATTTTTCCTAAATTTTTAATGTTTATATTTTGTTTCTCTATTGATATTTCAAAGTATAAGACATTTATATATACAAAATAAATGTGTAGACACATAAAAATATGTGCCCACATATAAAATATGTGTGGTGTGTATATCTTTTTATCTTATGAAATTATTATAGAATTCCATAAATCATGAAAATAAAAAAAAATTATCTCATAAAAAATTATAATTGATTTAATAACAGTTTTACTTTAATCTAATTTAAAATTAAAATAATGTTTAATTTGATTTTAAAAATTGGAAAAGGATACGGATATATCCGATATCCGAATGAAAGAGATATGACCAAAAAACCAGGGTTGGTACAGTGGTGACGGGAAGTGACGAGTTGTGTGATTTCCAACGTTGTTTCCACTCTTGTTCGTTCGTTGAGCTTCATCACATCGATTTCCAGTTTTGTACCATGATTTTAAACAACTTTAGAACTTAGAGGGCATTGGAATGATCCTTAAACTTATTGATTCATATATATTTGAAAATATAAATATTTTGATATCATAATCACCAAACCAAGTATCTAAGTATCGCCGGCACGTGAGGCCGTATCGTCGAAGCGGTAGACCAGCTACCGTCTCCAATATGTATTACCTCCTCCCGTGGCGGTACCTGACGCCAGGCGGTACCCCGTACTATCTGGACGATACCGAGGTACCGTGTACCTGATGAATATTCTGATTAAAATGATGATTATGAATTATTGAACCATGTCTAGAAATGAATGTATTGATGATTGTGAAAATAATATGTTTTGTTAAGGGTATCTTGAAAAACTATAAGATATACACATACGAGTCATTTAGTTAATTGAAATTGATTATTAAGGTATCTAGAAGAGCTCTATGATATACTTATGTGACCAATTAAGTAATTTGGGGTTAAGACGTATGTACGGGATCTAAACCAAACTTGAGAATCACTCGTTTGAGGATACCACCCACCCGATAATTCACTGTTCGGTTGGAGTGTGATCCATAAGACTCGTAGGATGGGTCATCGATTTTTGTGTTTTGCCTTAAACTAATTATAGTTTAAGAACTCGATTAGAAATACTGCCTTAGACTAGGAATAGTTTAAAAGCTTTGTTATCAAAATGTTTTGGCCTTAGATTGAGAATAATTTAAGAACACTGTTGAAATATTGAATATTGGATATATATCATGAAATTACTTGAATTTAAATATTGTTAATATATTGAATGATGAATGCTTGAATTGAATATTATGTGCATGATATCAAATGATTTGATTATGAATTGAGATTCAGTTTATATGGATGTTCGATATATTAGATATCCTTACTCAACTTTAACGCTGAGCGTCTAGTGTGTTTTATTTGCTACACGCAGGTAAGTATAAAGAATGATGTGACATGATCCTGGCGGCAGATGGAGACGAGATAGTCAGAATGGATATATTATTTTGAATTAAAGGACATATATTAATTGTGTTTGTGATTGTGATTTGTTAAATTCCGCAATATTGAAAACTGTGTACTGTTTTTGTTACGAAAAATATTATTGTGATAAATAAAAGTGTTTGAAATATTTTAAATTTTTACGATTACCAAGTTTATACTTTAGTCCGAAAGGAGCTGCAGACCTGAACGGATTAGGGTGTTACACACATGGTCAAACTTTAGTCACCTTCTTTATTTATTTTGGTCACCTACTTGATAAAATAGTATAGTAATGTCAAGTCTCGTTTCATAGAATTTTTGATGTAATTTTAAAATATATAAATTTTATTCTTGAATTCTATTCTAGTTTTCAGAAAAAATTATTTGAAAGTAACTTATGTCAAATATCATAAATAACATGCAACTTAAAATGAGACGTATGAAATACTAAAGAAATGTATAGTACTCCGTATTTGTATAATTAACTTTACTTTTTTCTATTCTCACTTACATTTGAGCATTTGTAAAAACAAAAAGTATGTAAATACTTAATTTATTTATGAACAAAACTCACAAGTCACAATTACTTATAAATAAATTTAGCAATTGGGATGGAGGAATTATAATTTAAATAAACAAATGTTATAAACTATCTATAAACTAATTTGTAGTAAAATGGTCTGTTTGAGAATAACTTAAAAAATTAGCTTTTGAAAAAATTATCTACAGACAACATTTAGCGTTAACAATTTCGAAATAATCTACACCGTTAAAATTTTGTTTAAAATAGTAACACTAATCTTTAAAGCTATTTACGGAGAGACTCATATATTTTTGACAAAAAAAAATGAATAAACATTTATTTGAGTGTGGCCAACATTTCCAAAGACAGCCGGAAACGCGGCAGTCAAAAAGCAGAAAAGAAGAAGAGAGGCGCCATAGACTCGGCAGTCAAAAAAAATGAATAAACATCTATCTTTGGTGTTTCAATGCTTTGAAATCGGGCATTGATGATGTTCATTTCATAGGTTCTATCAATCTGTTATGTTTTCCCATATTTCCATTACTTGTCATTTATATTGGGTTTTGTTTCCTGTGCTGGTGATGATATCTTATATCGTCTTAACAGTGAGCAGATGAATTTGATTTTTATGATCTCATGATTTAGAGCATAAAACACAGATAAAAAATGGCACACAGATTAATTTTTTGTTTTTTGTTTTTGTTCATTTTGTCAATTGTATGAGAGGAAAATCTTCAAAAAAACCTCTCTACTTTCGAGTAGGGGTAAGGTTTGCATATATACACCCTCCCCAGACCTTACTTTCGTGGGATTTTACTGGTTTTAACAGTGAGCATATGAATTTGATTTTTCTGATCTCATGACTATGTCCTTTTGATGTGTACGTGGTGTGCTGCTAATTAATCTTCATAATGACTAGGGATTAGGATGTTAAACCTTATTTTCTTTTGGTTCTTTATTAGTAGGGGGCGGTAGCACTTTATCTTGAAGTGGATTTTAAGCTATGGTCCTTGGGCTGAGATCAAGGAACAAAAGGGGTGCTTCTGTTCAAGTTGATTTCATCATCCACGTGAAGGAACTGAAGCCTTGGCCTCCATCACAGTCCCTTAGATCTCTGCGGTCCGTTTTGCTTGTATGGCAAAATGGGGATCACAACTCCGGGTCCAGCTTGTTCAATGTAGGGGATGCAAGTATTGAATTCAATGAGACGTTCACTCTCTCAGTGACTCTATGTCGTGAAAAGAAGGCTCAAGATAACTTCCAAAAGAATTTCTTGAATTTTTACCTATATGAACCCTCCCGGAGGGACAGAACAGGTAAAGGCCAACTTTTGGGGACATCAGCTATAAATCTTGCAGATTTTGGGGGTATTGAGGATAGTGTGACCACTTCCACACCTTTGAACTGCAAAAAGGGCTCCAGAATTTTTGAGCAGCCAAAATTATTGGTTACAATACAGCCTGTTCATAAGGACAGCTTATCTGAAAAAACATCCTCAATTGACAGGGATGATCAAGTATCTGTTGCAGATTCAGTAAATGAAGGAAATGACGATCAGTATGAGATTGCGTCTTTCACAGATGATGATGTGTCATCATATTCATCTCTGGATGTCCCCATGTCTTCCTCAACGGCTGCAAAGGCTCCACCACCACCTCTACACGAGAAGGTACGACAACTGGTTCTAGTTTGCACTTTTTCCCTGATTATATTATATCTAAGAGCAACTCCAAGGCATGTGCTAAATTTTGGGAAGCTAAATGCTATTTTAGCTTCCCAATAGTGATTTAGCATTCCACTTTTCCAACACTTCTCCAATCATATCATCTATTTTTTAAAACTTTTAGAAAAGTTATCCATAAAACAAAGTAATCTTCATAACTCTATATTGTGCTTTCAATAGTCAGATTAGAAAAAAGATTGCAATGAATAATTACAGACGGTTGCAGATTAGGGGAATAAATTGCAATGAACAATCGCATTAAAAATGGCAGATAAGGAGAAAAAAATTATGCTTCTTGAGCAATGAACAACAACCGGCCAATCAATATTATTTTTAAGAAAAGTTTTACAATTGCAGACCAGAATAGGTTGCAAATTAACCCCCAAATTTTGATTTTCCCAGCAGTCCAATAACCGAAATGAATTTAAGGTAAACAATCACTCTAGCACAGTGATTGCACTGAAAACTCCATGAAAACTATGATATAAAGCTTACCTGAGTCGTTCCTAGAGTTCAAGTTTCATCTTCAACGTGCGGAGAGGAGAGAGAAGTGTGAGAGAAGTGAAGCACAGAAAAGAATAGCAGATGCAGAGTACATGTTATAATTGAAAGATGAAAAGTCAATTATAGAAGTTTTTTTATTTTTTGAAGGGTGCGTTGGAGGCTTATTTAGGAATAGTAAAGTGTAAATTTTATTTTTTTAGCTTATAGAAGCCCGGTTGGAGTTGTCCTAATAAGAGTACTACTAAGCTGTCATATGATGAACATTGTGATTGACATTCTTATTCAAAGTTAGTGTGACACAACTCACATGGTAGACGAGCAAACATTACTCTCTAGTATTTATGAAAAGCAGAAATGAAATTCCTCTATATAAACTTGATATTATATAGACTTATACTTTGTGCATTTGAAGCTAAAGCTTTTGTGATAATCACATGACATAACCACTTGATACTCGGGTGTCTGGGAAAGAGATTCATGTTTCAAGAAAGTATAACTTTTACATATGTCCCAAAACCTTTTAAGGTACAATGCTCCTAAATTTCCAAACCAACACTAAGGCTTTACTTGGGAATAACATTTTCAATTAATGTTAGCATTTTGGATAATTTTTTTAATGGTGTGAGTTGACTTTGAAAATGCTATGCTAAACTCTGTCATTATATAAGCTTCTCAAAACGCTAAAGCTTAATGCTGAAGCTGTTGCCAAATGGGCACTAAATTCTATGAAAATTAGCTTGTTCTTCTTTTGTTAAAATAGGAGTATAGGACTCTTGTTTGAACAAAATAACTATTGCAACACGCAACTAATTTTCAGGGTGAAGTAGTATAGCAGTATATGTTAGTAAAAGAGAATACGAAGTATTTTACATTAAGGATTAATTCAAATTCAGGGAATTGATAGCACTTCCAATGGTCCCCAAAATGCAGGATGGAGCTGAATCTGAGCACTTCAAAAGGGACCATATAGACCCTGATACACTTCCAGCACCGGTCCCTGCACTATCGCGTGCGAGTTTTCTTTCAAATGGGTTGGAGGCTCCATCTGAAAGTAAAGCATTGATGTCATGGGAGGCATCAACCTCAAATGTGGAAAATCTTATGAACAGACACACTTCATTACCCAAGTTATCTGAGAGAAGCACAACATCAGTCCAGGAAGAATCGGATGCCCTCATAGTCGAACACTCTCTTTCATTTGCAAGGTATCAAGCCTCAAGTGGTTCTTCCAGTATTGCAAATTCAGATGCTTATACTGGAACAAGATCACCCTTTGACTTTCAAGAATCACAACATGGAAGTTTTGGCCATGATGAAAATGATCTTGGCAGTGATTTAAATGTCACCATTCAGGGCGGGATGAGTTCAGACGAGAAACAAACTAAGAGAGATGATGAGAGAATTCCTAGAGATGATTTGCATGTTGGTGCTCAAGAATCCCAAGTGAGAAATAACGAACATGGTGAAAATAAAATCAATAATTTACCTATTGGCCTTGTGGGGGGAAATGATATAAAACAGAAACTCGAAAGTGAACACGATGAAAAGATTATTACAATAGATGATCAACACATCAGTCTTCAAGAATCACGAGAAAGAGAAATGGATCATGCTGAGAGTGAAGTTACTAATACGATAGACATTGGATTAGTCAGTGAAAATGATATAAATGATAGGCTAGAAACTGAACAGAAAGAAGAAAGAACCCCAAGAGATGACTTGCAAGTCGGCGTTCAAGAATCTCAGGAGAGAAAGATGAGAACTGGCCATGCTGCGAGTGAAATTATTGAAAACTTGCATGATGATAATGTGGACGGTGAAGAGGGGATCTCAAGATATGATTTACATGCTGGTCTTGTGGAGGGAAAGGGCATGAAGAAGAATCTGAAATTGGAACAGGAAGAAGAGACAATTCCCATACATGATCCACATCCCAGCCATGGGGTTGGAATGGATGTAAAGGAGAAACTAGAAATTGAACAAGAAGAAAAGAAAATTCCAAGAGACGACTTAAATGTTGGTTTTCAAGAAGCCCGAAAGAATGAAATGAATATGGGGCATGTAGAGAGTGAGGCTGTTAATGATTTGCATGTCGATCTTGCGAGTGGAAATCATAAATTTGAGAAAGAAGAAACAAATAAATGGATATCAAGAATTGAGATGCTTGAGGAAGAACTAAGGGAGACTGCTGCTGTTGAGATAAGCCTTTATTCAGTAGTAGCTGAACATTCGAGTTCATCAAGCAAGGTTCATGCTCCGGCTCGTCGCCTCTCAAGGTTCTTCTTTCATGCTTGCAAGGATAAGTCTCAAACTAAACAGACAAGTAGTGCAAGAACTGCCGTCTCAGGTTTAGCTCTGGTCTCTAAAGCATGCGGAAATGATGTACCAAGGTAAGCACATTACCTATTCCTCCATCCAAAAATCTCGTTGCAACTTGATAAACGTCCCATTGTGATCTTGAGCTTTGAATATGATTATTTTGCTTATAGGTTAACCTTTTGGTTATCAAACACAATAATGTTGAGAGCAATTGTTAGCCAGACTGCTGTAGAGACAGTTGACAAGAATAGACCATGTAAAGAACATATTAACTGGGGAGATATGGAAACATTTACTCTTGCTCTGGAACAAGTCGAGGCATGGATCTTCTCCCGTATTGTTGAGTCGTTGTGGTGGCAGGTTTGATTTCCATGTCATAATATTTGACATTGTCTCCTTTATATAACGCATTATCTTCTTTCCATAATAGCTCCGTTAATTCTTGTTTGGATGCCAAGATATGCTAGGGAAATGGGGAAAAATGATATACAAATTATGTCGTAGTATCTGCCTCTTTGGTTCTACCACAGAAAATGCATAAGAAAGTAAAGTTGTTAACAGTTTGTAATTTTTACCTATTTATAATTCTTATGGTTCATTTTAATTAATGTTATGCTTCACTCCAGACATTCACTCCACATATGCAAAGAACTGTTGCAAGAACAAAGGGCAGATCTAATGGCTCAAATTCTAATAAGAAAGGTATTACGCGTGGTTTTGGAGATGAAGAGCCAGGTAGTTTCTCGATAGATCTTTGGAAGAAGGCTTTCAGAGATGCTTGTGAAAGATTGTGCCCGTTTCGGGCTGAAGGACATGAGTGTGGCTGCTTGCCAATGCTGGCAAAATTGGTATAATATTTTTAAAATTGTGATGTTTCATCCCAAAACCAATTGGTAATGGTAGAAGAACTCATATGCTTATATATTTTTCATTTTTAACATGGGTGTTTGATGTGGGACTTTATATTCTCAACCTACCCTCTAAGTGCAACTTTGGTTTTTTTGTTTAAGTTGTCACTTGCTTGAATAGACCTGGGTTTCTTTTTTGAGCTCTAAGCTTTGACTCTGATATCATGTAGAATTGTAAGAGTACGTCCTAAAATCATTTAGCAATGGGAGGAGGAACTCATACTCTTATATACTAGTAGTTTCTAGCTTGGGTATTCGATGTGAGACTTTATAACCTCATGATAACTGATCTGTTATATCTTTCACTCTCCTATTTCATTGATGATGAAAAAAAGAATTTAAGTTGTGGTTGTGCTGCAGGTAATGGAACAGCTAGTTAGTAGACTGGATGTAGCAATGTTCAATGCCATTCTACGTGAATCAGTTGATGAAATGCCAACGGATCCGGTTTCAGATCCTATTAGTAATCCTAAGGTCCTCCCTATCCCTGTTGGGAAATTGAGCTTTGGGGCTGGCGTTCAACTCAAAAATGCTGTGAGTAGTCATTTCTTTCTATTTGATACAGTATTACTTTTGTTGGTGAGTTGATAGAAGGGGTAATTGGATCGTTTCACCCTTTAGTGATATATCTTGAGAGATCTCTTGAGTGTATTCATTTGTTTGAGTCAAACTAGCCAATCGTTGATCATGAATTGAATAAAACTTGTATTGCATATTTTGAAAGTGTTATGCAAGAAAAATCCAATTGATTTTTTTATTTATAAATATGCAATGTGTTTTTCATATCAAAGTTCATCCACTTCGAATGAAAAAATCAAACACAATGAATACACTAGGACCGAAGGAGTACATTTTGGGAGTGTTTGACAAAACTCATAAAAACCCCTGGAAAGTATTTTTAAGTAGTAAATTTTCACTGGTAGGGTAGATACAAAATACCCAAATTGTCCTTTCTCATAAGCATCTCTTTGAAAATGAATCTTGTGATATTAATGTTAGATTATAACTTAATATTTTAATGATGGTAACCACAGTCAAAACTTATAAACTTTGACTAAAAAAGTCAAATTATGAAGTTCACTCATGAACAGAGGAATCATTTTTTTGTCATTGGGCATGCACATTCCTTTGTTTCTCTTTATTCCTTTGTTGTACTATCGGTTCTTTGTGTTGTTTGAGTTGGAGGTCTCTTGGAAACAGCCTCTCTACTCTTAGTAGGGGTAAGGTCTTCGTACACACACCCTCCCTTCTTCCTGCTGTTGCGAGATTCAACTGGGTTGTTGTTGTTGGGCACACACATTCACCTAAGACATTACGGAGTATATATTTTTGAAACTACATCAAAAGTTGTACAAAACAATCGATGACTTGACTACTTTATTGTATCAAACGATCAATGGAAACATGTAAAGAAAAAAAAAAGATATAGTGCGACCATGTGGATAATGAAATAGAACCTCCTTATATTGGAACAGAGAGAGTATATATTCTCAGTATATACTAACTATGATTTGGTGCTGACAGATTGGGAACTGGTGTAGATGGTTGTCTGATTTATTTGAAGGTGAAGAAGAAGAAGAAGAGTCTCGGCGCAAGCCTTTCGGCCTCCTCAATGCTTTGAGCGACCTCATGATGCTTCCATTGCAAATGCTTGCTGATCCACCCTCAAGAAAACAAGTAGTGACCTTTAACTCTTTTAAGTCTTTGACAGCTTGTATATATATTCTATGATCCAAACACGGTAGTACCGTACTGCAATTTTGGACTCTCAAGTTTTCTACGTACTTTTGAAGGTTTGCCCTACGCTCGGTCCGTCACTCGTCAAGATAATTCTCAGCCTTTATGGACCTGATGAGTTCTCCCCGCACCCGGTCCCCCTGCAAGTACTTGAAGCACTTGATTATGAGGTTAATTCACTCTCCAATTAGACTTCATCATAATTAACTAGCACTACTAACAGTATTATTATGATCATCATCATCATCATTATTATTAGGTGTGGCTAAATCTGTGGCTAAATCTACATCCTTTTTTGTTAAAAATTAAATCCATCTATTTATGGTGAATTTAGCCAAAATGAGCGTGTAGATAACAACACCTGAATGAATGTGGAAAATATGACATTTATTTGGGACGAATGGTGTATCATCTTTTAAGCCTTATTGTCCTCACTAAAACTTTTCTTCCTTTTCTCAAAGGATGATGATGATATGGGTGATTCAGCCGAGTATTTCGCCAGCTTTCCGTGCACTGCGGCCCCCACCGTCTACTCATCTCCAGCGGCCCCATCGGTCGCTACATTTGTGGGGTACTTCCCCGGAACCCGGCCCTTATTGCGGAGCGGGTCAACAGTACTAAAAAAGGCACACACAAGCGACGATGAGCTGGACGAGGTCGACTCGCCTCTGACTTCTATCGTAGCGGGTCCATCTCGGGGTCGTCCTTCTTCAACCGGCTTATTGAACTGGACAACCCCAAAGGCGAAGGGCAGTCCTAGTCTTATAAGGTATCAGCTGCTTCAAGAGCTATGGAGAGAGGATGAAGATGAATGAGAAATGTTAGGCAAAAGAGGAGAAAATATGGACACACTTTTCTTGGTTAAGGTTTTTAAACTTTGACCATAGTATACGAAAATAATGTATTGCGTTATTGTATAAATATAAGAAATTTTTGCACCATTTACCCCTGAACTTTTAAAAAATTGCACGGATTCATCTTGAACTTTTAAAAATATTACACCAATACCCTCTGAACTTTTAAAAATATTGCACCAATAGTCTCTTTGTGCCAGATTTTGAGAGTACGTTAATCATATGTTCATCAATATACATGTTGGAGCTTAATGAAGATGTCATGGATTGATTTAAAGGTTGATCGATTGATGACGAGCTTTATCGGCTGATGTCCGGCCTTTGAATTCGTTTAGCGATGAGTAAATCGAAAATATTTATCTAGGGTTTAAATAGGTTAAAAATATAGAAGATAGTGTTTGGTAAGGGCATATTGCAGAACTTATGTGTGATATATGGCTTTAGATTAAATCATACTTGTACTGGATGAGTGTGTGATTATATTAATGCACTCTCAAATCTGGCACAGAGAGACCATTGATGTAACATTTTTAAAAGTTCAAGAGGAATTGATGCAATTTTTAAAGTTCACAAGGGAATTCGTATAATTTTTTAAGAGTTCAGGAGTAAATGACGCAAAAAAACCGAGATTAATTTTTAATATTTTGTAACGTATATCTATATATAAATACAAATGATGAGACAAAAAAACAAAAGCGGCAATAGTCGAGAGGGGCAATAAAGATAATTTGGTCATGGCTACGATGTTTGACCTCAGTAATCCTATTTGGTTAAAGGGTATAAAAAATGATCTATGGTGAAAAGCCTTTTAATAGAAAAGATTGAGCCTAGAGTTTACATTTTCTTGACTATTGTTAGTTCTGAAGATTTTGAAAGGTATCAAATTTATGTTTATGTTAATTGTTGATAAAATTTATGTAGTAATAATAACCGCCAAAAGATGAGATAAAAATAGGACTTCAAACATCAAACTGTATTACTTCATGCGTATCGGTGATTATAATAGTACACAAAGAAAATGATAATCCTATATCTTTATATATAAAATTTGAGAGTTGGGCTTCTAGGATTGTGACATGTGACACGCTTATTAGACAATTTTTTTGACATGTCAGCAAGTAATATTTAAAGAATTAGTTAACAAAAATACTTATTTTATGGAAATTTAATTTCGTATTCGTTAAACACAGATTTCTCAGCATAATCGTGTTTAAAAACTTTTATATTTTATTTCATTATTCGAAAATATTAAAATTTAATAATATATTTTGATAGGGAGTATTTAAACAAGGAACTCATACTAAAAAAAATCAAAACAAACAAATTTATTCCAAGAAGGAATAGATTAGTAGGACAAAAGTAAATCTTTATATATAAAATTTGAGAGTTGGGCTTCTATGATTGTGACATGTGACACGCTTATTAGACAACTTTTTTGACATGTCAGCAAGTAATATTTAAAGAATTAGTAAACAAAAACACTTATTTTATGGAAATTGAATTTCGTATTCGTTAAACACAGTTTTCTCAGCATAATCGCGTTTAAAATGTTTTATATTTTATTTCCTTATTGGAAAATATTTAAATTAAATAATCCTTTACCATAATAAAGGAGACTCCGATTTACAACAATTCGACATTTGACATGTCTATTTGGCAAAACTTTAACATGTCAACGCCACGTAATAACTGAGTAAAATTTAAAAAATATTATATACAGAGTAAGAAATTGATGCCGATTAAATTGATGGCCTTTAAGATATTAATTGATAAAAAGGTTTAAATAATTTTCATATACATGTTTATACCACGAAGGTTAAAAGGCAAAAAAATTATATACGATCCCCAATGCAATGTTTATTACATAACACATGGCTTATTTTTCAAATACTTCTACACTATTGAAAAACCTACTAGCAACTTGAATTCACCAAAAAATAAACGACCATAATATTGATGTAAAAATATACTCTCATACCCAAACACTATTTTCTTTAAAAATAAAATTGAATAATATAAATTTGATATTTCAAAATCTTTTTTGAAAATAGAAATGTATTCTATGTATATTAAAATGCAACAAAAATATGAATGGAAAAATAATGCATTTTTTAGTATAACACATACCTTATTTATATTAAAAAAGAAAAAAACCGAATAAAAATTTGACTTTTCCCAAAATTAAAAAAATAAATTAATAAATTAATGAAAAAAATTTAAAAAAAACATGTGGTTGAAATTTATTTAAAAAAAGAAATGATACTAGAATTCTTTTCCTTAACAAAAAGAAAATGGTAAAATTTAAAATTTATTTTTAATTTTTTTAAATAATAATAAGAACATTGAACATATCTTTTGTATACCCTGAAGTCTTTCAGAAAATTTGGTTATTAATTTTTTTTTTGTGTTGTACACAATTATCCCCTGAAATATTATTTATTCCACTTTGGTTTTTTCTATGATATTAAATATCATGCGCGAAGTATATTTTCTTTATTCTTGAAAAAATATTGCATTAAATTTTATTTAGAATAAAAAAAATTTCGTTCCACCCATGCATGGCATGGGTTCAAATACTAGTATATATGTAAAAGAGAGTTTAATGGTTGTAGTGTTGACACGTGTCATACGTGACATGACATTTACCGCCAACGTGTACAGACCTCAAACATTAAACGCCAACGTGTATAGAAACCAAGCATTGATGTTCGTCCTTCGCGATCCTTGCTTCCATGGTAACCGGTACAGGCGCCCAGCCGTCATCTTACCCCAACAAACATCAGAACGCCAAAACGAACATCAACCGGTACAACATCAAAACGAACATATAAAACATTACCAAAAAAAATGAATCTCCTCAACTACCAACATCAAATTAAAAAACCTCAAAATACAATAATATCACTCTTCACATTTTACAAAATAAAAGGATACAATGTAATATTTCAAAATCCTACAAAACCAAAACACACAAACCCTTTAACGCATGCCCAAGCGTAGCACGGAAGAAAATCAAATCATAAACCAAACCCTCCATTACCGACGATCGCCTCAATAACATTATGACAATGAACCCTAATAACAAGCCTGTGCGTAGCACGGGGTAGAAAACTAGTTTCTGATATTTGGATAATGAATAAGAATCACAATGGAAAGCATCATATTCAAAGTGAAAACCTAACTTTGATTGATGATAACGACTTAGCAACTTGAATAGACGGATGACCTATCCAACCGTGTCTCAGATGATACCTTGTGTGGAATACATTTTCAATAGACCTTGACGATGATTATCCCTAATGTGCAATACATTCGAAGATTATGCAGTGATTCTTGTAATTGAAAAATGTGTGTTTGATTCGAAGGCTAGAGTTGCACCTTTGATGAAGTTGAGACCATAGCCATCTCACCCTTATATATATATATATATATATATATATATATATATATATATATATATATATATATATATATATAGATTTTGGTTCAGGTGAGAATGCAATCTAATGAAAGAAATAAGAATGAATCTGGTGCATTAGATTGGGAGATCTAAGGGTTAGGATTGCATCAAAATTAGGTGCACCAAGATGGTTTGAAAATGCATCATGTCGAAATGCACCATAATCCTTTGAAAATGCACTATCTCAAAATTTGAGTGCAGAATGCAATCTGAGCCGCACGATGCATCAGATCCAAAGGCCAGATTTTATTCTTATTTCTTTCACCAAGGTGCATTCTCACTTGAACCAGCCCCTATATATATATATATATATATATATATAT